TTAGGGTTTAGGGCTTAGGGCTATAGCGTTTGGGGATTATTTTGGTTCGAAGGGGGGGGGGGAGGGTGGCCTTCGGGCTTGCAGCTGTCTGGTTTTTGTTTTGGTCTGGGGATTGGAAGACTTTCACAGTCTGAGGGGTTTCGGGCTTTAGGGTTTGCTTCATGAGCGGTGTTGGGCTGAGGGCTGTTTGGGAGTAAGTCAAGGTTTCGCTAGGGCCGCTAGGGTTGGGGAGGCTCTCGTGACGGCATAAGGGCCCATTCTGGGCCGATCCCTTTGCCCAAGAACGTTCTTCTGCTTGGGGTTTGCGGCTTAGGGCTGAAATTCCCAGTCCCGCCATAGAACCAGGATGCACGAGCATCCTGACCCAGATACCGCGGGCTCTTTCACTGGAACTCGTGCCCGCAACAAACAAACCAAAGCAGCTTCAGCCACAAACCCTAAACACTCAGGGTGCACGGGGGGTTAAGCCCAAAAGTGGCCAGAAGTCTGTTCATGTCCGCACCGCGGGGTTTGGGGCTTTAGGGGTTTGAGGTCTAGGCCTATGGGGTTTTTGAGATTCAAGCACCCTAGAAACATCTCCTGAGTAGAAGCACTCGAAGTGAAGTACCGGGCTCCGGTGCACTTAAGGTAAAAATGCTAATCTTGTGGTTGTTGTGATGATGATGAAGATGATGATGCTTCTCATTATTACTACCAGTATGATTACTGTTATTACTGCTACTCAGAAGAAGCTCGCTGACCTTCCGCTGTGGTCTGTTACCTATGAGCGGTGACCGGAATCGGACTCCTCTGAGTCTTAGCCATGCTTGGCAGAAGACTTGATGCGGATAGCATTAAAAACGAAGCAGCAGTGAAGAGACGTATACGACTGAACAGAAAGATGCGTATGACTCTGGCAGAATTAGATCGGGGGTCGGAGCTCCTAGTGCTGCTATGATCATGACATGTAGAACTAACCAGCCGGGCCAAGTGCGGCAGAGAAGAAGGCAGCGCCCGTGTACTCCCCTGGGTTGTTGTAGACGCGTAGCCTGGGATGTGTGACTTCGTGCACTCTTTCTTCCACTTAAGAATGCCATTCCGGCAGAGATGATTGGTCGCTTACGACTGTGAGTTTCAGCATTTCGGGTAACTGGCGACAACGGGCGACGTGAGTTCGGGTGGGGCTTCGGCGTCATTCGGGCCCAGAGCCCTCAAACCCACATCCCCTTGTCGCAAGCTCAACACCCCAGTGATGGCATCAGTTAGTGTTAGTCTCCTTGATCACTAGAAAAACGTGGCTCCGAGTTTCTCATCATGGCGATCTTGAAAACTGCACGCAATATGTCCGTTGGCATTACCATGTATGTCAGTGCGAGTGTGCCTACTCTCAGAAGGTTTTACACTGTTGATACTAACATTCAAGTTGAGCATGAAAGATGTTGCGAGACTCAAAGAACCCTGAACCCTAAATCACAAAATATCCTAAACCCGAAACTGTCCGTCATTTCTTTTCGGAAGGTCTTCTGAGATATGCGGAGACGATTTGAGCTTTTGCGTTGTGAGGATCTGCTTCATCGCCTTCAACATCACTGTCGGTCTTAAGACAATTGCGGTGTTCCGGAGACGCTACCCGTCCTAACTGGAAACGCAATTAGTGACGAAAACTAGTGCGAAAAGCATATCAGCACATGAATCACAACTGCTCCTGGTATCTGTATAGCCTTCCCCCCAAGAACGAGCTTGTTGCCATGATCCTCACCCTGCGGTGTTGCAGTAATTCGTTTAAGATGCCCTCTCACTCCCTCCAGAAAACCCTACCAAAACCCCTGAAGAAGGCTTGAACATCTCTGGTAACACCTCGGTAGAACCTCAGCCCTGAACCCTGAACTCCTAAGCTATCAAGCTCAAGGCCCCCCCAAAGCCGCTGAGGACGAGGTGCCTTGGCCTGTACATTGGATCCGTCAACTCGAACATCGATTCGCCCTGCGTGGCCACCAGCAGAGCAAGAGTTTGGGGTGTGGGTCCTCCTAAACCCTGTAATGTAGGGGCCTT